TCAATTATTTATATTTATGTTATGTATGATATGTGTATCTCTCATAGCAGTATTTGTATGCGCTAAATTTGATAAAGTACAAATGCCACACACCCCCTCCCCACCCCACGCTCATCTGATGCAAGAATACGTTCTCAGAATCAAAGAGTTAGCACTGATATTTCTTTACTTTTGCTGGAACAACTTTTAGTTTTCATCTAAACATTATTGATGTTTATGTTCATGTTGCAAAAGCATTTTTGTTTGTCTGTAAGAGCCTTTATTGTCATATTTATTCGGCACACTTATTCACCTTAAAAATGACGTATAGTTCTATAAAATATGTAGAAAATTAATGAAACTGTAGTTTAATTTGTGTATAAAAACTGTTAACACAGAACGGGGAATCCCCGTTGACCCAGTTGGCCTTAGCCGTGCCAGAGACCAAGGGGAATTACTAGAAGTCCAAGTCCACGTAAAAATAATCCCAACCCGGGAATTGAACCCGGAACCTCTAGCCCTCGAGGCCGACACCATGCATCGAGACCACGCAGCCCCTTCGGACTTTAATGATTATTCAGCATAACGTGCCCTGACCTGCCATCATCAGCGGAATCGCTGCTCGGAAATTCAGGAATGTGTATGGCAATTTATGACAGCCCAATTGCGTGACAGAGTCATTTGGCTATCATTTACCCTGCAACTGTGGTAGCAACATTATAAAGGTCGCACGTACTGTAGATTAGTCACTCAGTAACATAAGAACTGTATCCGGCTCATTCTGTGAGAGATATTAACAATTTTGGAGTTGTCTGCTTCGTACATAAAATAAAATACCGGATTATTTTTATACTCAGCGACTTCAGGTCAGTTTAGTGGATAGGCTGGTTTACTGGGTTTTTTTTTTCAAGTCGTTGGCAAGTTTTTTTTGTGTGTGTGTGTATGTGTGTGTGTGTTTTTTTGTTGTTGTTGACAATACAGTCGAGTTTGGATAAATTGAAGTCGCAGGGACCTAAGAAAATACTTCCACTTATCAGGACTTCTACTGATCCAGACAGCACACACAATAGAGCGTGTACACTAAAACTGAGCAGTATCATTGAGTAAAACATTTACAGTATTTAGTTGTTGAATTTTCCTCTATATTTAGACTGAAAGGATACAGTTCCGTAGCTTAGCTACCGAGCAGAGTGCATGGTGAGAAACTGATCTGCGGATTTCATTTGAAATGCTTTTCGACTGTGCCCAAAGTGGTTCGTGTTGTAAATTGCAAATTCAGAAAATAGCGTGCAGCATGTTGCCAAAGAACTTGCCTGTGCCTTATGCAGTTAACTGCATGTGCAACAACTGATCTCTTGTAACTGCTATTTGCATCGAAGATAAACTGTATTTCTAGTGTCGCCTGTTTGTGGTGGCACTTCTGACTGCTGTCTTATGCATTTAGTGCCTGTGTGTACTGTTTGATTTGCCAAGACTGCAGTGTGTGTTAGTTTTCTTTTACAAGAGACAGTGGCTGCCATTCTCTGAGATTTTCATTGGCACAGGAACGGAGCAACTATAGGGTGACCCGTTTGCCGTGGAACTAGAGCTGTGATTAGCTGAATTCTGTTTTCACACACTGGGTGTATGATGATAGCACTGTGTACCTTACACATCAGTTGACCCTGGGCGGATGATGTGATCAACATCACGTCGGCAGCCATTGCTTCCTGAGGCATTTTCAGGTACCCATGTTTGACTAGGTCGGCCTGAAAACAAAATCATTAAAAAAAAAAAAAAATAGTTTCGGTGCAGATTTGAACACCTCAATTTCAACACTGCAGGACTGGGAGGCAGGCGAGCATGCTATTTTAATCACTGACAGTGTGATACGTAAGTAAAGTAAGTAAAGGTCCCTTCTTCACGCCTGTAGTCCTATAGGGCATATAGGGCTAGACCTATATTTTTATAGACCAATCGGCACAAGATGGGTGGTGTGGTCAGCATCACGCCAGCCGCCATTACTTCCCGGGACTGCACCCGGTACCCACTCAAGGCTGGGTCGACTTGGGAGGCAAGGTCAAGTGTGATACGTACTTTAAAATCATGTTTACATTATGTGGGGTTTTACCCTCTGATGCCGTTCTTATTATGAACTATGCACAATTCACTTGTGTTCTCAGTTTCAGTGTGAAAATAAAAATTTAGTTGCGTATCCCTGACAGGACGTTGCAGAACCAACCCCATAATTTTTTTTTTTTGGTTTTGTATATAATTTTTATGTTAAGTAGTTTGCCATTGAACGGTTAGCTCTCGGTACCACTGTCGAAATCAACGCAAGACAAGCCGTCCGCAGATGGGATCAAAACCGGCACCCCAGCATTATAAAGCGCGTTCGCAACGCCTAAGCCACATACTATGTGCAATTACTTCAGCTAAATTATTATCTAACTAACATAAAAAAAAAAAAAAAACATAATATGTTTAAATTTAAAAAAAAAACGATTCGTGCTTGCTGTCGCATGAGCACTAGCTCAAGTCAGTTCAGCGGCGCAATGAAGGCTTGTAGGGGAGAAAGAGAGAGAGGGGGAGGGAGAGAGAGAGACACAGAGAGAGAGAGAGAGAGAGAGAGAGAGAGAGACAGAGAGAGAGACAGAGAGAGAGACAGAGAGAGAGATAGATAGAGAGACAGAGAGAGACAGAGAGAGACAGAGAGAGAGACAGAGAGAGAGACAAAGAGAGAGAGACAGAGAGAAAGAGAGAGAGACAGAGAGAAAGAGAGAGAGACAGAGAGAGAGAGAGAGAGAGACAGACAGAGAGAGAGAGAAAGAGAGAGAGAGAGAAAGAGAGAAAGAGAGAGAGACAGAGAGAGACAGAGAGAGACAGAGAGAGAGAGAGACAGAAAGGGACAGAGAGACAGAGAGAGACACAGAGAGAGAGAGAGAGACAGAGAGAGAGAGAGAGAGAGAGAGAGGTGGGGATTGACAGTCTTTCGGATATTTAGAAAAAGATACAAAACCGAACGAAAAGTATATTATTTCGGATATTTACAACCAGCTAGCCACACCCAACCCAGCGACCAAACGATTGACCAGTCAGCTCAGTCACGCGCAAGCCGAGCCAGCCAACTAGTCAGTTATCTAGTCAACCTAAAAATGCAGCCAATCAACCAGCTATCCAGTGAACCCACCCACAAACACACCCAGCCAACTAACTGTCAAATCAAGCCACCCACAAATCAAACGAGCCATTCAATAAACCAATCAACAAACGCACTCGGCCAATAAAACCAACTAACCAGTCAAGATACCAACATACCCAGCAAGCCAGCTATCGAATTATTTAAGCCACTCACAAAGCCAACCAGTTAACTTACTAACGAACCAACCAGCCATAAACCCAGTCACTCAGCCAGCTATCCAATCAAGCCCCCCCCCCCCTTTCCGCGAATCCAACCAGCCAACCAACTATTCAGTAACCCCCCCCCCCCTTTCCATAAACTCACCCAGCCAGTCAAACAGCTAATCATTCAAGCTACCTACTATCGAGCCAGTCAACTAACTATCCAGTCAAGCCATACACAAACCAACTTCGGGAACCAGCTACCCAATGAATCTACCCACAAATCCAGCCACAACCACCTAGCCAGTCAAACGCCCACAAACTCTGCAAGCCAATCAGTTAAACAATAGAGCCATCCATTACCCCAGCCAACGTGTCAACTACACTGTTAAAACATAAAGCGCATAATTATTTGATGGTGCGTTTTTAAAAGTTGACGGAAAACCCGTACGCCTAAAACTATCAATGACCCAGATGTAAAAGACCACGGCCATCTTTAGGCTATAAATAGCCTAAAGATGGGCGTGTAAAAGACATGTCAATTGATTGGTTAAATCCAAGTTTATTCTTATGTGCAGTTTGAACAATTACCCTCACTCAATTACAAAGATTTGGAATGTCAAAATTGTTGCTTTTAGTAGCTGTGCATTGCTTTTTTTTTTTTTTTTTTAAAATAGTTTTAGTATAAGCACCCAAGCAATCTACCCACCAATCAACCCATCGCCCATTTAACCAGTCAGTCGACTTACAAACCAATTAACAGTCCCTTTAACCAACCTTTCAGCCGGTCGACCTACCACACATCTAACCAACACGTTTGACTGAAATATTTGTCTTTTAATATTTCACCATTTATGTCTTTTCATGTTGTCCTTCAAACTCTACATGTCTTAAAATGTTCCGTTTTTTTTTTATAGGTTCTATTTGTTCTTACAGCACATACCAGTAAAGTAAAGGACCATTTTCCACGCCTTGCATGCGTATTGGGTATATAGGGCTAGACCTATATTTTATAGACCAACGGCACAAGAAAGGTGATGTGTTCAGCATCACGCCAGCAACCTACACTTCCCAGGACGGCACCCGGTACCCACTCAAGGCTGGGTCGACCTGGGAGCCAAGGTCATTTTTAAAATAAGTCCGGCTCCGCCAGGTAGCGAACCCATGACCTTCATAGCCGCCAAACCACGGCGACTCCCAGTTAAAGAACATGCCAGTAAATATTTTTTTGGGGGTGTGTTTTAGACTCTTCTTGCAGCTAAAACACATGCTTTAGCGCAGTCGGTAAGAGACTCGCTTTCAAATCCAGCTGCGACTCGCTGCAGCCTACAGCCGGTGTTTGAAACCGAGTGGCTCCCAGGGTTCACCCAGCCTCTCGGAAATGGGTACCAGCGTTATCACTCTGGGGTAAATTTAGGAACGTCGCTGTAGCTAAGGAGTTTCGTGCAGACAGCGACACAGGCGGACATTTCTTATCAGCTGTCCGTACAGGTGGCAGAGCACTTGTGGTTTTAACAGTGTGCAATGACGCTGATTCACAGCTCCCAACTTTACCTTGTTTCTTACCTTTACACATGTCAATAGACTATTGCGGCTTAAAAATGTGTTTTCGAATGTTTTGTTTCCTATTATAGACTCCTGTTGCAGCTGAAACACTTACATGTTTTGTTGTGTATTTTAGACCCAACTTGCAGACGACAATGTTGAAGTCGGTGCTTATGTTAACGTCTTTATTCACTATCATCGTTGACCATCATGCGGTGAGGTCACAAGGTGGGGCCACACAACAAATTGAAGCCATTGTCAAGGGTCGATGTTTTGCCTACAGATTCGTCAGACCACCAGGACTATTACCAATGTATTACTTTTAAAAATATTTTATCAATATAATACCTCTGTTAAAAATCTTACCGCTTTTAATTATGTTTGTATAATACATCTGTTAACTCTGCAGGTGCCAAGGACTATTCAGTTTGTAGATAATTAATATCTCCTCTGTTACCAAGAAGTCGCCGTGGCGAAGCGGCTAGAAGCTCGTGGGTTCGCTCCCGGTCATTTTTTTTAAAATGACTTCCGCTCCCAGGTCGACCCAGCCTTGAGTTGGTACCGGGTGCAGTCCCGGAAAGTAAAAGTGGCCGGTGTTATGCTGACCACATCACCCATTTTGCGCCGATTGGTCTATTAAATATAAGTTCAGCCCTATATGCCCTAAAGGGCGGGGGAAAGGGACCTTTAATTACTTTTCTGTGACCTAAAGAGTCAAATCTCCTACAGTCGCATGCATCTGATTTTATAATACATCTTTTTGAATATCCTTACAACCGTTATAATGCGTTTTAAAGCTCGTGCCGTCACACTTAAACTTTTCTTCTTATTCGTTCACTGGCGGTAAGCTCCGGTGAAAAGTCCTGGTTGTTCGTCCAACTGGACTTTGGTTTAGTGCCAGGGCCTGAGTTTCTCATCTACATCCGTTTTACTGACTTATTTCTGTGCAGCTATTGTTTCCTGCCTTTTTGGGCAGACATATTTCGAAGAAAGCCCCCATTTAGTCGACTTTTACGACATGCTTCTTGGGGAGGGTGAGCTATTTCTGTTTCCCCCAAAGTGGGGTCCCGGAACCCACAAGAGAACTACCACGTATATCGAAAACAGTAGTACGGATAAAATCGGCCAATTTCTGTAATCTTGTTTTAGACTAATAATTTTTGCTCCCCTGATAATTAGAATATACCATGATTGACAAACACGCGGAGATTGTTTGACCATCATTTCATGTGCGCCTGGTGATTATTTTGATAGCCATCCTGCATACAATGAAAATCCGCAACTCATGGGGGAAGTAATATTGCTGATGCCCACCTGAAAGTGAAACGCCTTTTGAACCAGAGCAGTTTGATGTTTTGACAAATTCCCGTCACTCAAATAACTATAGACATGATGACTGATTGCTTTGAATAGATGTTTTTGTGTGTGTCTTTTTTTCCCCACACATTCCACAAACAAAGTAAAATAAAAATTAGATGTTTGTTTTGTAAAAAAAAAAAAAAAAATTCTGACAAGGACATAATGATTAACAAGTTGCATACCAGCAACCAAATTTCCACAACTTACCCCCAACGGTTAAAGATTCATACACATTTTAAAAGCTAGGCACAACTTCTGAATGGGATCATAAACCCGTGTCACTCATTAGGTCATGTAAAATATGGGCCATTTGCTCGCTTGCTGCGGATTGGTTCTAGACCCTTGGTTTATGGTTTCTATAATGGACCAACATCATAGTACAAGGGTAGTAGCTAATAGGTGTTCCATTCTACTTCTAACAAGTCTGTGCACGAACTCCACAGCACTGGCGAGGATCTTAAAATACTTTGGGTAGATTTTCAACTCCAAATTTTTGCCCAGACAGCGGCGTTAGGCTACTCTTTTCGATTTCCAACTGGCTATGGAATTTTTTAAAGTACGCAACAATACACACGGGCATCCGACCTTACTGCCTAGAAACCCGGAACCTCCAGTACTCGAGGCGGACGCATTGCCTTCAGACCACTTAGCTCCCCCCTCCCTCTCCCCCAGTTCTAGATTTATATTGCTATAGACCACTCTCGACAGTTGTTGTGATCAACACCACCTATTCAAGATACAACAACACACACACACGCACGCACTCACACACGCACGTACACACACACACATACACACACACAAACTCACGCACACACATACACACACACAAAAACACACACATACACACACACAAATACACACATACACACACATATACGCACACACACACATTGTCCTATTGTGCCATTAATTATATCACATAGAGCTCACAGTTTATTTATTGATCAATTCCGTTCCACCCTGTGCAATGAGTTCTATATCATAGACGGAATCCAGACCAGCAGCTTTAGTCTCTCTCATCCACCTTTACCTAAGGGTTTCTCTTGGTCGTCTTCACCTCTTTAATCTCATAATTTCCCATTTAATGCCTGATTGAAGATTCTCTGATGGTTTTTTCTAAGAATGTGTCCAATGTAGCGCCATCTTCTATGTCTTACAACTGTCTTACAACTAGCGGTTGCTCAGACATTTCTCCTATTCTGCACTCTTCTTGAATTCATCCTATTTTATTTTCATAAATATCCTCTTAAATTTATTTTCGAATGCAGTTATTTTTCTCTCCATGTCTGTAGTGATTCTCCAACTTTCACTTGTATATGTTGACATTGAAATAACATAAAAATTGAAAATACATAACACGGTTTTAAAACTATATACAATTTATATGTTCAATAATTTGTTCAAGCTGTTAACAGCTGCCGATGTCTTGCCAGTACGTGTCATAATTTCTTTCTTTGTATTTCCTTCACTATTAAAATGACTACCTAAATAAGTAAATTAACTTGTTACTTTAATACTTTTGTCTCTTGTGTTACATCTGGAAGTTATGTTGTTGTTGGTGTCTTTTCATAACTTATTTGTAGTCCTATCCTTCAATTCCACATTCACTCAATCATTTGTTTTCCTTTGCATGTCATTGCTTTTTTTGTAACTTAGCAGAGCAATATCATCATCAAATCAAGATTGTCCTAGTGTGCATCCTCTACCCAGTCAATGCCAGGTCTCCACCACACAACATTTATTTCATTACACAGTCAATGGTTATTCCAAATAACCCCCTCCCCCCAACCACAAACACACATACACACACATGTTTTCATCCTCCATACTTTAGACATATATGCTGTATCGTGTTTACTTCCCAGACCGGATGTTGACTGCGATGAGCTGTGGGCTAACTTTTCCAGCGCTTGGACATACAGAGAATCTTGTGGTCAAAACAGGAGCAGTTATGAAAACCTTATTCACCCACTGAATCAGCCTTTGCCGCCAAATAAGGTTTGTAGTAAAGCTTGGTGTATCTCACAGTACCTCCTTCGAAACCACCAAGTCGTCTTGTCTCTGGCCGAAAGTATAACACCATCCGGTAATTTCGTGCAGCGGGGAACCAGCCCTGAGCGTCATTAACTCAGGTGGGCCCACCTCCGAATACGTCTAGGAATAGTGGGCCGAAACGTGTGTCGACGAGGATAATTTCTACTGAAGACTGGTAGATCCCCGCTGTACTTGCTCCCTGTGAGTTTATTCTTATTGTACGTGGCTAGCCCACAAGACTACCAGGAAAGACTGGTGACTATCGGGAAAGTCCTTTTGACACCTATGGAAAGACTGGCCCCCCGGTATCGCCGGGGGGATAAACTGACATCTGGAGACAGATGTCGACTGTGGACCGGGTTGATCACCCCTAACACAGTATAATACCTCCGATTTCGTACGACCACAATGAAATATGCCCCAGGGCCCTCCGAAAGGGGGGGGGGGAGAATGAAGGGCCCAATCTGATTGATACCCTCGGTGACGACTTTGCTAGCCCCCGGACTGAGATACTCGCCCCAACGTCCGGGCTGGCTCTGTACATGTGGAAAAAGCTTCACGGGGTTGCATGGTCTGAGAACGCATGCCGGAAGAATGAAATGCGAGGGTGCTCCACGCAGTAAACGCCGTCGCAAAACTACCACTCCTGTGGTAGTTTCTGAGTCGTCAGGGTACGACGGGCAGGGTGAACCCCACTCGCCCGGAGAGGCCCATGACGTCGACTGCGGAGGAGCACCTTTGATGATTTCTGAAGAAGTGCGTTCCAGAATCAGGTTTCCACCTGCGAGCGAGAAGGTGGTGTGGTGTAAGTTGGAGGCTACATTATGTGAGGTACTTAAACAAACTCTAAACAAGAAGCCGCTAGGCGACAAGCTTACTAAATGTAATATATGAACACTGCTCCCGCGAGTTCGGGACAGTAGTAAAGGCACAGCCGGGTGCCAAGCAGAATACTAGCAGGAGGCAGAGGGACATTCTGAAGTGTCGGGCAGACAAGAATGCCCTCAGAAAACGGTTCAAAGCCGCTACAGGCAGCGAACGGGAGGGGCTGTATGAAGTGTGGGTGCATTTAAAGAACAAACACAGTGCCCTCTGTCGCGCCGAGCGTTTCTGTAACAACAGACGAAGAACCAAAAGGGAGCGAGAGAAATTCTTTAGGGACCCGTAACAGTTTGCCCGAGGTCTATTCGAGCAACCGAAGTCTGGGACTCTGGTTGTCAGTCAGGAAGAACTAGAGCTACATCTACGCAAGATGTACTCTGACAAAAAGAGGAGTGAGCCTCTCGATGACAATCCAGAGATCCTTAGCGGTCTTAAACAGCCTTCGGTGCCGAAGGTACCATTTAAAATGGTACCTCCCCTTTGGTCTGAGGTTGAGGACGTTGTGAAAAAGGCCAGCGGCAAGTCTGCCCCAGGTCCGAACGGTGTCCCGTACGTTCTTTACAAGCGTTGCCTGAAAATCCTAAAAATGCTTCACGTCTTGTTGAGACAAGCGTGGATCCGCAATCACATATGTCCAGAGTGGTCAAAGGCAAATGGGGTCTACATTCCCAAAGAGCAGGACTCGAAGAGTCTTTCCCAATTCAGGCCCATCTCGCTGTTGAATGTCGAGGGTAAGATATTCTTCTCAGTCATGGCTCGCCGGCTCACACAGTATCTGATGACTAACAAGTACATAGATACGAGTGTTCAGAAGGGTGGTATCCCAGGCGTTCCTGGGTGCCTTGAACACGCGACCATGATCTGGGAGGCTATCCAGAGAGCCAAGCATGAGAGAACACAATTGCACGTAATATGGTTGGACTTAGCCAACGCCTACGGGGCAGTCCCCCATAGGCTACTGTGGTGAGCCCTTCGCATGTTTCACGTACCGACACAGATCAGTCAAATGATCGAGCAATTTTTCTCCAAGTTCGCTTTGCGCTTCTCTACCTCGACGTTTACCACGAGGTGGACTGAGTTGCAGATTGGGATAGCTATGGGCTGTACGATCTCACCTATACTGTTTGTCATGGCAATGCAGATCATGTTAGACGGGGCGGCCGGCTACGGACAGGGCCTTCAAATAGGGGATCACTGGTTGCCGCCACTACGCGCATTTATGGATGACACGACTATAATAACGGGCAGCGAGGAGTCTGCCCGCACGATCCTGAAAAGATTGGACGCGGTGGTCCAATGGAGCGGTATGCAGTTCAAACCGCAGAAATCGAGGAGTCTGTCAATCCATAAGGGCAAGGTGTCGGCGACCAGTTTTACGGTGGCAAGGAACAAGATCCCTACGGTTCTGGAGGAACCGGTGAAGAGTCTCGGTCGCGTTTACGATTCGAAGCTATCTGACAGAGCAGAGGTCCGGCGAATACATGAGTCACTGGCTACAGGCCTGCTCGCGATCGAGCGATGCAGGCTGATCGGAAAATTCAAGGTATGGTGTCTCCAATTCATGTTGATTCCGAAGCTCCTATGGCCACTGTTAGTCTACGAGTTGACGATGACTGCAGCTGAAGCCATGGAGAAAAAAATCAACACAGCCTTAAGAAAGTGGATTGGAGCACCGCCTTGTCTGACCGACGTGGCTCTGTATTGTAAACAGGCTAAGCTGGTAATTCCGTTCAAGTCGATAACCGAAGAGTTTAAAGTCGGCAAGGTAAGACTCGCCATGCTCTTGCGCGAGTCTTCAGACCCAAATGTCATCGCTGTCCAGCCCGCTCTAAAGACTGGTCAGAAGTGGAGGGTCCTCGATGCGATAGAATCTGCCCAGAACGCACTAAAATTGAAGGAGATTATGGGTTACACACAAACCGACCGTCGAGGCCTAGGGCACGGGAAAGTCAATTGGTGGTCAAAGGCCTCAGCCAAAGAGCGCCGAGACATGGTGATACAAACGGTGAGGGACAACGAAAACGAGGTTCGGGTCCAGAAAGCAGCCCAGCAGTCGCAGCAGGGCCATTGGGTCAGCCTGGAGAGCGCATTGCCGAGAATACTCACATGGGGTGAGATCTGGCGGATGACCCCGCTGCGACTGAGCTTTATCGTTCGTTCGGCGTACGATGTATTACCGTCCGGTGTCAACATGGTTAAATGGTCTGCGACCAACGATCCGACTTGCCCGTTGTGCAAATCGAAGCAAACTCTTGAGCACGTCCTGTCCGCGTGCAGGAAAGCCCTAGGTCAAGGCCGATATACCTGGCGCCACAACAAGGTGCTAAAGGAGTTAGCAGCCGTTGTCGACCAGGCTAGAATGAGGGCTAACGCCAGAGCCAGTTCTAGTATCGCCCCCATTCGCTTCGTCAAGGCTGGGCAGGTTCCAAAAGGTAAGGTCAACAAAAACGCATTCGCTCCATCTGTGCTAGACTCTGCGAGGGACTGGTTACTGGCGGTTGATCTGCCAGGCCATGAACGGTATCCCGAGTTGATCCGTAAAACCGGCCTGCGACCGGACATCGTTCTCCATTCTGCGCAAAAACGGCAGCTCATTCTGATTGAGTTGACTGTCCCGTTTGAATCGCGGATGGAGGAGAATCATTTGTACAAGCTCGAGAAGTACAGTGATTTAGCAGCCGGTTTGAGGAGAAACGAGGCTTACACGGTACGGGTTTTTGCCGTCGAAGTGGGAGCGAGAGGCCTCGTTTCCACTTCGCTCTACAATGTGGTGAAAGAACTAGGATTGCGCGGTAATGAACGGAAACGAACACTCAAAAAACTGGGAGAGGTGGCCGAAAGGGCCTCTAGCTGGCTTTGGACGCAGCGCAACAACGTAGGGGACGGGCCTCGGTGAGCTGGTCCGGGTGTCTAGCGGAAAAGAGTTTCTCATCCCTTTGAAAGTCCATCGTGTCCGAATTGTCTGCCAGTGTTCCTCTGCCAACTGCTAATAAAAGTCCAACATGTGTCCGGTAAACCAAAGTAAGCTTGTCGCTCGGTCGTCCAGACATGCGGACTGTTTTAATTACGCTGTCGCGGCGGCTTCTTATCTCACAGTACCTCCTTCGAAACCACCAAGTCGTCTTGTCTCTGGCCGAAAGTATAACACCATCCGGTAATTCCGTGCAGCGGGGAACCAGCCCTGAGCGTCATGAACTCAGGTGGGCCCACCCCCGAATACGTCTAGGAATAGTGGGCCGAAACGTGTGTCGACGAGGATAATTTCTACTGAAGACTGGTAGATCCCCGCTGTACTTGCTCCCTGTGAGTTTATTCTTATTGGTGTATATCTTCAAAGGTGTCACATTTCCCACCCATAAAAGCCATCTTTCCCACCACCCAATTTGTGTCGCTTCTACTTTTTGTTGTTTTCAATGGGCGGCTTCATGTTCAGCAGTCTGTTTTGCCACCTAAATCAGAAAATCTATCCTGTGCCGTCTCCACTATGAAGGTTAGCAGCAACGGATCGCTAACACGCTGTCTTTCGACCTTTTCTCAGCCTGCTGCTTCTACACCCACTTCTTGGTGTTTTCAAAACGTTGTTTCATTGCCTGGCTTTTGCTAACCTGCCTCCCCCTGTTTCCCATTAGTATATTTTTACAAGAGTATCTTGTCTTTTAATATGGCCAAACTACTTAATTTGTCTCTTTTTTATATCCTTCATCAAACCTGTTTTCTCTCACATAGTTTCCAGGAGCTATGTTTTTGATTATTTCTTCCCCTCTCATTAAATACGAAACATTCTTCCATACATCCACATCTCCGTAGACTCATTGAAAACTTTTGTGTATGTTGGCGCATCCTGGTACATCGTGACAATGGGAGAGTTCGAAGGTAACCAAGTGAAACGATGTTTTACCATGTCGAAGGGGGTGGGGTGAGGGGGGGTGGGGGGGAGGAGACCTCTGTCAAAAATCATTAGTAGTACCCGTGATGGAGGTGATTATCAACGTAACATGGCGTGGTTTTTAAGAGAAATATGTTCATTTGATCAGAACAGTACTAGAGAACTGTCCTTAAGAAAGAGAGTAGGGGCTTTTGAG